CGGTTTCCCTGTACAGGGTTTCCGAGGCTGTAAATCTTTACGGGAGCAGAAAGCCTCATCTTTCTCCTGTGGAACAGCTGGTAGTTTTGAACTGCTGACCTTGTGGTTCGCAGCTCGATTCATAACCACTACACTACCAGAGCTCCTTAAACTGATCATACGTGGCTGTATTTCCTTCTGTGTTTTCAATTCTGTTCCATTGATCAATATGTCTTTCATTATACAGTACCAGGTTGTTTTGACTACTGTGATTGTGTAGTAGATTTTGAGACTGGAAGTGAGAGATCTTCTACTTTGTTGTTCTTTTTAAATAATGCTTTGCTTATCCAGTCTCTTTCCTTTCCATAATAAAGTTAGTGATTAGTTTTTCCATCTCTTTAAAGAATGATGTTGAAACCTGGATTGGTTTAACATTATATCTATAGATTGCTTTGGGTAGTGTTGACATTTCACAATGTTAAGTCTTATCGACAAGCAGGGTATATTCCTCCACTTCTGCAGGTCATTTTTGGTTTCTTGTAATAGTATTTTGTAATTTTCTTTGTATAGGTCTTTTGTTTCTCTGGTTAGATTTATTTCCAAGTATTTCATATTTGGGGTGTCTCTTGTAAATAGTATTACTTTCAGAGTTATCTTTAGTGTAGTGTAAAGGAATCCAACTTATTTTTATATGTTGGTCTTGTACCCTGCCACTTTGCCGAATCTATCGATGAGTTCCAGTAATTTTCTTGCAGAGTCTTAAGGATGTTCTTAAGTATATGATCATATCATCTGCAAATAGAGTTTTACTTCTTCTTCACCACTTTGGATGCCTTTAATTTCCCTTTCTTGCCTTATAGCTATGGCTAAGACTTCCAGCACAACATTGACTAGGAGTGGTGATAAAGGGTATCCTTATCAGGTTCCTCTTTGCATGGAGAATGACCTGTTTTTCATTGTTGAGAGTGATGTTGGCTGTTGGTTTTGTATGTATGCCCTTAATTATGTTGAGGGATTTTTCTTTTATCCCTATTTTGTTGAGTATTTTTATCAGAAATGAGTGTTGGATTTTGTCAAATGCCTTTTCTGTATCAATTGATTACAATCCTGTGATTTTTTTTCCCCTTTGTTTTATTTATATGGTGGATTGCATTGATAGTTTTTCTAACATTAAACCATCCCTACATATCTGGTATGAATTCTACTTGATCATGATGTGTGTGTATATATATATATATATAAAAATGTAATTTTTTTTTCTTGGAGAATTTTTGCATCTATGTTCATGAGGGATATTGGACTATAATTTTCTTTTTTAATGATGTCTTTGCTTGGTTTTGGTATCATATATGCTTGCTTCATTAAATGAATTTGGGAGTTTTCCACTGTTTTCTATATTATGGAATACTGTGACTTAGAATGTGTATCAGCTCTTCTCTGAATGTTTGGTAGAATTCACCATTAAAGCCATCTGGACCTGGTTGTTTTAGTTGGCAGTTTTTTAATGACTTCATCAATTTCTTCTCTTGTTAAGAGGCCTATTCAAGTTTCCTACTTCAGCCTTTGTTAGTTTAGATAGGTTGTGTGTTTCTAGAACTTTGTCTATTCTACATTTACAAATTTGTTGGATTTCAAAGAATCAGCTTCTTATTGATTCTTTCTATTTCATTTATTTCTGCTCTAACCTTATTATTTCTTTTCTTCTGGTGGCAGTAGTCTTACATTGCTATACTTTTTCTAATTGTTGGAGATGTTTGGTTAAGGTATTGATTTTTGTTCTTTATACTTTTTTAATGTGTGCATTTATTGCTATAAATTGCCCTCTGAGCACTGCTTTTCCTATGTCCTAAAGGTTTTGGTAAATTGTGTTTTTGTTCTCATTTGACTCAAGGAATTTTTTTATTTCATTTTTTTATTTGATCTGTTACCTGATAACTTTTAAGTAGAATGTTATTCACAGTTCCACTATTTTTAATTCCATTTATCTATGAAGTGTTTGAAGCTACCTCATATTTGTGTATTTCATATATGTGAGATCCTACAAATGTAGTAGCTACTTTCTTGCTAATAACTTAATTCACTCAGCAGGTTTTCAAGGTCACCCCTGTTGTGATGTGTATCAGGGCTTCCTTTCTCTTTCTGACTGAACTCTAGGTAGTTCCCAACTTATGAGGTAACTAGGTGGAGAATATATTCAAGTTACAGTGTGCTGTACTTATAACCACGTGATTTGTGTATTCTTTATGCATATATGTAATTAAAATGTCTGTACGTTCATATGTAATGTTTCCAATCCCCAAAGGCAAAAATGAGATTTACAAAGATACTACTAATGAAAAACAATAATAATGAAAAAAAAAATTGAGATTTAACTTATGTCAGAACCAACTTACCAGAGAAGTATAGAAATGCATTTGGTTAAGGCATTCATCTGTTGCTGGACATTTAGGTTGTTTCCCCTCTTTGCTCTTTTGAAAAGTGCTGCAGTGAACGTTGGTACAGGTTTCTGTTTGAATTTCTGCTTTCACTTCATTTACATACATGAGTATACTTAGGACTGAGATTGCTGAATCATATGGTAGTTTTATGGTCAACTTTTCGAGGAACCATCAAATTCTTTTCCACCATTTTGCTTTCCACCAGCAATAGATCAGGGTTCCAAATTCTGTGCATCCTTTCCAACCTGTTCACCTATTGCTTTGTTTTTTGTTTTTTATTTATTTATTTATTTATTTACCATTTTAATGGGGGTGAGATGGTGTCTTTTTGTGGTTTTGCTTTGCATCTCTCTCTTGGCTAATGAGGAATTCTGGTGTGTTGCTGTAGGATAAGCACTGGACTGCTAACCATAAAATCAGTTCAAACCCACCAACCAACCACTCCATGGAAACCTTGTACAGGGTCACTATGAGTTGTAAATAACATGACTATCACTTAACAATAACAACAACAATAACTAATGGGGAGCTCTGGTAGCATAGTGGGTTACATGTTGGGCTGCTAACCTCAAGGTCAGCAGTTCGTATCCATCAGAAGCTTCTCAGGGGAAAGCTGAGGGTTTCTACTCCTATAAAGATTTACAACCTTGAAAACCCTATACAGGATTGCTGAGTCAGAACCGGCCCCACGACATGCAATCACCACCCCCACCACTACCACCAATAGCTAATGGGGAGCTCTGGTAGCATAGCGAATTATGTGTTGGACTGTTACCTGCAAGGTCAGTAGTTTGAATCTACCAGCTGCACCATGGGAAAAAGATAAGGCTTTCTGCTCCCATAAAGATTTATGGACCCTATACAGGGTCACTGTGAGTTGGGACTGACTCCATGACACATAACCATCACCACCACCACCAATGGCTAATGGACTCCTGGTGTGATGCTGTATGATATGCACTGGACTGTGAACTACGTGGTCAGTGGTTCAAACCCACCAACCACTACTTGGAAACCCTGTACAGAGTCACTATGAGTCGGGACTGACTCAACCAAACTTAACAACAACAGTGACTAATTCCTCTGATTGCTGGTGGCACTGTAGGATAAGCGTTGGACAACTAACCACAAGATCAGCAGTTCAAACCCACCAGTTACTTTGTAGGAGAAATATGAGACTTTCTGTTCCTGCAAAGATTTACAGCCTCAGAAACCCTATTCAGGGTCACTATGTGGTAGAACTGACTCTATGCCATCTAACAACAGTGGCTAATGGAGGGAGTCCTGGTGGCACAGTGGGTTAAGTGTTAGGATATAAACCAAAAGATTGGCAGTTCTAACTGACCAGTTGCTCCTAAGAAGAAAGATGAGGCAGTCTTGTTCCCATAAAGATTTAGTGTCTTGAAAACCCTATGGAGCAGTTGTACTCTTTTCCTATATATGCTTGCTGTGAGTTAGAATCGACTCGGTGACAGTGGGTTTAGTCTGTTGGGTTTTGTTTTGTTTTCAGATGGCCCTGAACCATCTGGCAGTCTTCTGTAACCCTTACAGCATTGGTAACTCTATGGGGTAGTTTACTGTGCCCATTAGGGTTGTTATGAATAATTGATGGCAACTTTGTTTTTTTAATGGCTAATGACATTGAACATCTCTTTATGTACTTGTTGACGGTGGAACATCCTCTTAGATGACAGAGATTTTTGCCCATTTTTTGATTGGGCTGTTGTAGAAATTTTCTTTATATTCTTTTAATATTAAATCCGTATCAGATACATAGTTTCTAAAAAGTTTTTTTATAATTGGTAGATTGTCTCTTCACCTTCTTAATAAAGTTCTTTGATAAACAAAGGACAGGTAATCCTTGATTTATGATGAGGTTGCCTTCCAAAGAGTCTGCTGTAAGTCCATTCTAAAGTAAATCAAATATCCCATTGTTGTTTAGTTTTCATTATTATTGCCTTTTATAATCAGTATCTTCATAAAGTTGATCTTGAAGTATCTTTCGGGGTTGGAAACATTATATACATGCTTACAAATATATGTATGTATTACTAACAATAAGATGTACCCCCCCCCAAAAAAAAAAACAAACAAAAAAAAACCCTTACAGTCATAAGTATGGTTGGTTGGTTGTAACTCTAATACTTTGTAAGTCTGGAACTACCTGTATTTAATTTTTATAATGTTTTATTTATCTGTTTTGTCTTTTGCTGCTTACCTGATAATCCATTGTTAAAAAACTAGGCTCCACAGACATGCTCTGAGAATTTTATGTGTTTAATTTTCATATTTAGGTTCTTGATGCATTTTGAATTGGTTTTTGTGTGTGGTGTGAGGTATGGGTTCTGATTAATTCTCCTGCTTGTGAACATCCAACTCCTATATGTGAACATCCAATTATCCCAGCACCATTTGCTTCAAGTCTCTTCAAAGACTTTTTTTTCCCCCATTGAATAGAGTTATTAGCACCCTTGTTGAAAGTCAGTTGACTGTGACTATCCATTGTAACAGGAGTAATATAATAAAATGATTTGGGATTTGGTCATCATTTTTGACCATGACTATCATTATTTTTAAATATAGGCAACATCCTGGACACCTACTATGTGAAAGAAAGCTAGAAGACCTTCCTATTCAAGGACCTAAAGGAATAGATGAAGATGATCCTGTTAACTCTGCCTACAACATGAAACTGACCAAGTTTTCCTTCCAGACCGATAGGTATACAAACAACCTTTTGGATTTTATTTTCCATCATATGGACACCGTTTCTTTTTACAAAAGGTCTTTACAGTGGTGGATGCTTTCTTTTTAAAAAGGCGGGGGAAGTGTCCTCTCCCTGGTTTAGTGTGTTACGTAGTGTCTTCCCCTTAACAAGGAGCCCTAGTGGCACTGGGAGGTAAGTGTTAGTCTGCTGACTGCAAGGTAGGTGCTTCTACCAGCCCTTCTTCAGTAGGAAGATGAGGCTGTCTGCTCCCAGAAAGACTTGCATTCTCAGAAACCTTGTCCACGGTTCATTATGAGTTGGAATTGACTTGGTGGCAGTGTGTCTTCTCCTGTAACAGACATGAGTTCTATCCTATCTTTCCAGGTCATGGAAAGCTCAGCTATCTTCATTGAAGAAAACAATAAAGAACCCCAAACTTGAGGTAACCCATTGTGCTCCATGGTTCCAGGATCTTTTACATTTGGACTCTGCTGAATCTGGTAATCACAGTATCCATGTGCCAAATTGGGCCTTCATTCCACAGGACACATGTAGACAGTATACTTTTCCACAGAAGGATAGTCATTCTAAGACCAGTGATCCAGGAAGGCCCTGGAAGGTAATGCATATCAATGAACAAGAGGAGCCTATGGTGCTTGAATGTTTGTCTGTGTCAGGATTTACGGCACTGTTTACTCAGACAGCAGAAAGGACTGGCTGCAGCATTGTCCTCTGGGATTTGGAGACCCAGGGCATGCAGTGTTTTCCCATTGGCAAAAACTGTATTCCTGTGGAGAGCCATGGAGACCCCCAACTGTGCCTTGTTTTGACAGGTGAGAATGCCTTATGTCAGGTTGAAATTCATTGCTGAGAATGTATTTTCTTGAATGTACAGTACAACTTGTGAAAGCCAGAGCCTGTATAAGGTGGAAATCTATCAAAGAAGGAAAACTCAAATATTTTCCACTAAAATGAACAATAGAAAAATAGTAAGACTGAATCTTGCCAAAGGCAGAAAACTGATGAGACCCAGAAAAACAAGGCTCTTACAGGTTTCACTGTATTTCGATATACTGCCCTGGTGATGCTAATGCCTACTCTAATTTTGTGTTACTCTTGGTAACTTTGTCTCAGATGTTCAATTTATTATTAGGGTCATTTCTGCTCAGCTAAATGTGAAGATACTAAACCAGAAAACTTAAGCAGTTGCTTCCAACCCAGAGCGTCATCACTTGACTTTGGTCTCTACAAGCAGAGATTACAAACTGACTGTTCATGGTGATCTGTTTATCATGGGGGATACATTTATCTGAGCTGCAGGTTTATTTTGTTTAACTTGCACTACCTACCTTCATCCAACACCTTTTCTAAAGAGTTGATAAATATTGTAAGCTTATAAGATAATTTCACATAAAAGTCTGAATTTCCAGCTGTTACTGAAATTTTTAAGATCTAGCAATGCTGGAGCTGCGTTCCTGCATAGACTTATGGGTTGGACTTGAGTCCCACTTGTTCTCTTTAGACGGACCATTTTGTTTCCAGTTAGGTTTTCTTATACTTCTCTCACCACCTGCTTGGCCCCTGAGGCATTTGGGTTTGATATATCAGATATGCGTTTATTCAGCATTTATATCGTAATGTTATATAAAGGTATTGAAGGTTATGATTTAACTGCCATTTGGATTTGATATATCAGATTTGCGTTTATTCAGCATTTATATCATAATGTTATATAAAGGTATTGAAGGTTATAATTTAACTGCCATTTGGGTTTGATATATCAGATATGCGTTTACTCAGCATTTATATTGTAGTATTATATAAATGTATTGAAGGTTATGATTTAAATACTATTTGCTGCTGCTTCAGTACACACATTCTGGTAATCACATATTTCTTTGTGTTAGGAACATTCATTGTTTTACTTTAGTCAGCCAAGATTCTAACATCTCTGCAAGTGTTTAAAGCTAATATAAAGTAGAAATGTAGGATTTAGTGCTATATCATAGGATACATTGTTCTTATAGAATTTGCCTTGTGATCAGTGTTTATAAAATAAAACTTTTCTTTAAAAACACTAAAAAACTGCAATGAATTGAAGTCATAATAGTACACTATATCCAATAAATTTATTTGTAATTCTAGTGTTGAAGTATTAAGTAATTAGAAACCTCACCTAAATCCTAATCCTTTCTTATTAAAGCTTGTTTATTTTCTATGTAGAAAACGGACTCTCTCTGATTTTGTTTGGTTTGACTCAAGAGGAATTTTTAAACAGACTGATGATCCACGGAAGTGCCAGCACTGTGGACTCTCTGTGTCATCTCAATGCTTGGGGGAGGTGCTCAATTCCCATACATGCACTGGAGGTAACAAACTGAAATCTCTTCAGGGCTTTGTGTGGTGGTTTTTCTACTCCATATTTGTGAGGATTTATGAGAATTTATTTAGCCTCACAATATAAGAACTGTAGTCTTGACCCATCCTCTTACTCAGTTCTGGCAGTCTCAGTACCCCAACTCTACTTAGCAGTTTACCTGTTTAGTTTTAAAGAATATGAGTTTATAATAGATTATAATAAGCATTATTTAAGAAAGAAATGTTATATATGAAATGGAGTCAACAATAAACCAAGAATAAGGGAAGTGAAAGCAAAATGTAGAAAGCTTGAATAGGAATACTGTTATATTCCTACTATATACTCCCTGCTTTTCTAATCCAGCCATATAAGGAGCTTAAAATAACTTGAGTTTATATAGCATTTTACAATTCACAAATGCTTTTTTACATGCATTATTTAATTTTAACCTATAAAACACCCCATGAAATGAGTTGAGTAGTTTTTATTCTATTTATTTTACAAATGAAGAAACAAGTTCAGAACAGTTAAGTGACTGACCCACAGCCATACGAATAAAACAAGAGGTAGAATCAAAGTCCTGTGTTTTTATTTTCTTGGTTATATACCTAGGAGTGAGATTACTGGATCATGTAATAGCTGTTTAACTTTGTTTTATAATTGATTTTTGTTATTAAACAAAAATACTTATAAACAGAGATAACTATAATAGTTTGATTTTGAAAGCAATAAAAAATCCATTTTTTCCTTCTAAATTTGTTACCTACTATAAAGGAGCTCTGGTAGCGTAGTGGTTACGAATCGGGCTGCGAACCTTAAGGTCAGTGGTTCGAAACTACCAGCCGCTCCGCGGGAGAAAAATGAGGCTTTCTACTCCTGTAAAGATTTACACCCTCGGAAACCCTGTACAGGGTCGCTATGGGTCGGAACCGACTTGACGGCACTTAACAACAACAACAACATAATAAAATTACAAGAAGAGTAATCCATCTAATAAAGTCTCCAAATGAAAGTTTTTAGTGATAAACTTTATTCTGTTTAACTTTTTGAAGAACCACCAAATGGTTTTTCATAATGAGTGCACCATTTTGCATTCCCACCAGCAATATATGAAGGTGTTTTTCCATACCCTTCCCAACACTTGCTATTGCCCATCTTTTTAATTACAGTCATCATAATGGGTGTGGAATGGCATCTCATTGTGGTTTTGATTTGTATTTCCCTGGTGATTAATGAGGGAGCATTGACTTTAGAGGGTAACTGGACTGAGAACCACAAGGTTGGCAGTGTGAGCTCACCAGTTGCTCTTCAGGAGAAAGATGAGGCTTTCTGCTCCTGCAAAGATTTACAGCCTCGGAAACTGAGTCAGAACTGATAACAGTGGCACTCAACAACAGCTGTGATTAATGATATGAAGCATGCTTTCATGTGCTTACTGGTCATTTGTATATCTTCTTTGATGGAGTGTTCAAATTCTCTGCCCATTTTTTTCTAAATCAAATGACATATTGATTGGGCAAAATACTTCTGTGAAGTATTTTAAAAAAAAGCAAAGATGTCACCTTGAAGACTAAGGTACACCTGACCCAAACCCTGGTATTTTCAGTCCCCCTCATACGCATTGGAAAGTTGAACAATGAATGAAAAACTGAAGAGCTGTCTTTTGAATTACGCTGTTGATGAGGAATATTTAATATACATACCATGGACTGCCAGAAGAACAGACGAATTTAGGAAATACAACCAGAATGTTCTTAGAATGTTCCTTAGAAGTGAGGATAGGGAGACTTCGGACATGTTATCAGGAAGGACCAGTCCCTGGAAAAGGACATCATGCTTGGTAGAGGGTCAGCAAAAAAGAGGAAGACCCTGAGCAAGGTGGACTGACATAGTGTCTGCATTAATGATCTTTTCCCCATTTTATCACTGAGTGATTTGTCTTTTTGTTGTGGGCCATATGGTGTCTTTTGCAGTTACTCTGCCCTGCCATTGTATTGTTGACAATATGTACATGAATGGGTGTAACTGTGTTCCATAAAGCTTATTTATAGAAATAGGTAGTTTTTTTCTACATCTTTGGCTGGTAGGCCTTAGTTTTCCACCCTGCTTTAGGTCATCAGAGAGCAGCAAATGCCTCCAGGCAGCTATTGGCTTTAGAGCTGTGACTTTTCTGGTTTTGTCTCCTTGTTTTTATCTTCTAGAATTTCAGTCAGTTTCTTGTTAGTTCATCTGAACATTTAAACAAAATACAAACCTACTGTCATCAAATCTGTTCTGATTCGTAGTGACCACAGATGAATACATATTTTTAAACCCATGATTTTTAGGTGTTCTGTATAGGAAAGTTCCAGCCTAGTTAGAACTGAGAGCCTGTTTTATCCTACTTTTTCATCGAACATTGTATCATGCTGCTCTAACACTTGAATGTATACAGACTAATTGAGAATGATTCCCAAGTACCTACTTTTGAGTGATTTTGGAATTATAGAATAGTGGTTGATGTTCACTTCCTACTCATAGTGAAATCTTCATAGGGGTTTTGAGGCTGTAAATCTTTGTGGCAATAGAAAGTTCCATCTTTCTCCCGAGGAGTGACTGATGGGCTGGAACTGCTGACCTTGTGGTTTGCAGTCCAGTGCTAGAGCTGAAAAAGTTTATTGGTCTTAATCCTGTTTCTACTGAAGCAGAAACTGATATTCAGAAAAGTTACAGTGACTTGCCTCAGTTCATGTAAGATCACTGTTAGTGTCCTCACTGAAACCCAGTTCCTCATGCAAATAAAGACAACCTTGTGTTTTCTCTCAGAATTTTTTCCTGATTTTTCTCTTTCAGGCTGGGATACAAAATCGTCAGCTAGACACAGTAGATTTCTTTCTGAAGAGCAAAGAAAATCTTTTGACTCCATCCTCAAATTCTTCTGTGATTGATCAGTTTGATCGCTTTCCATCTGATTTATATTTAAGAAGTAAGTAGAATAAAGCCCTCTATTTGTATTGATCTTATCTTTTCAATCACTTTCAAATTATTGTGTTATCTGGTGACTTATTTAACTTGCCCAAACTCAGTCATGCAATTTTATATGCTTTGCTGAAAGTTGAGTAAGTTGTTAAGAATTTATAAATGTCTCATTCTTAGTGAATATTTATCGTTCACATCCTATATTGTACTTTGAATTTTTAGTATGCAAGGAAGAGATGATCTTTCAAAGTGGTTGTTTTTTTAAGTGCCATCAAGTTGGTTCCGACCCATAGCAATTCTCTAGAGGGTTTCCAAGGAGCGACTGGTGAGCTTGAACCACCAACCTTGCAGTTCAAACCGACTATGCATTCTAGCGCATTAACCCACAGTGCCACACCAGGATTCCCTTCAAAGTGGTAACATCTTTCACGATGTTAGGGAAAATTTCCTATCTCTTCTATGGTTTTGATTCTTCCTATTCTGGCACTCTAATCACCCATAGGTTATTCCTCTTCATGTCCCACATGAATCTTAGGCTTTCTTAAGATTTTTTTCATTCTTTTTTTTCTTCGTGTTCTTGTATCTTTTCAATATTGAGTGATTTGTCCTCAAGTTCACTGGCTTCCATCCCTTTAGTTCTACTCCTTTGCCCTTTCAGTGTATTATCCATTTCTGATATCCATTCTAGACCTATTTTTGCAGGTTTTTTATTGCGTCAATGCTGTATCTATTTTGTTTGATTGTTCCTGTAGCACTTTTCTAACTTCTTCCTTATTTTCCTCAACGTTTTTGTGGAACATTTGGATACACCTCAGAATCATTTTCCTGAATTTCTTTATGGAGAGTTCCAAAGCCTGTTGTCCTTCCTCTGTAAATTCTAGCTCTTCGTCTTGGTCATTTGAGGTACTCTGTCTTGTTTCTGCACGTGAGCAGAAGCTTTCTGATGCTTTTTAGGCATGGTGGTGGTGGTTGTTGTTAAGTGCTGTCGAGTCAATTCCAACCCATAGTGACCCTATATAGGGTTTCTGAGGAGAAGCTGGTGAGTTTGAACCACCAACCTCGCAGTTCAAACGGCTTTGCAGTCTGGCGCATTAACCCACAGTGCCACACCAGGACTCCACTGTGATGGTGTAGCCTTTATATTAATGTGTGCTGGTGTATTCTTAAGCGTTCTCTATTTGTCTACAGCTAGGTGTGATCAGGAGATGGGCTTATTTTTTCACTGCTCTTACAGCTCAAATCAGAGTGTTTGCAGCAGGTGTTGATATTAGATGCTGCTCTGGTGTATAGCAACTAGTGTTGACTATTGCCCAAATGGTGGTTTTATACTGTGCAATTGTATCTTGGCTGTATGACTGACTGTAATTGCTGTCTCTTGTTGATTAAGGCAAGAAGAGAAAGAGCCCCCACCCCCCAACACTATAGAAGGAGGACTAAAAAAAGCCAGACTATACACGAAAATCCAAAATTGTCAAAAAAGAAAAAAAATTGGCAAAATATGAATAAGAGTTTATCACCACCTCTTATGGTCTCTTGCCTTCAAGGCCACCTTTGAAATTTCAAGATGTTCTCACTGTGTCTTATGATGTAATTCAAGATGTTGTTTTTGGCCTTATTCTCCATTTTTCTCCTCTCTCCCCTCAAGTCCGTTCAGCTTTTTCTTCTCGTGAGAACCAGCCCAGAGCTGGCCAGACCTGCTTTGGAAGACACTACTGTTTCAAACTCATCCTGTTGACTTCTCCCTCTTCTCCAATTCTGTGCCCAGAGATCCTTGCTATGCAGATCCTTCCATGTGCATAGCAGAACCTTCCCTGGGGGTGTCCACTTGTTCAAGTCTCCTCTCTAGTCCCCAGAGTGGAGATAAATAGAGCAAAAGAAAAGAATGACAAAGGAATGCTCATAACTTTATCTCTGCAGATTTGTCAGTCCTCTGTGATGGTATGTATGCTTTCTTTACTTTCTATCTGCTCACTTCCATCCTAATTGGTTGACCCAAATCAATAGCCACCTCCTTTGATATAAAAGGTTTTGGTTTTTGCCTGTTTCTCCCGCCAAGAAAAGTTAACTCATCAAGGTAAACTCTTCCAAGACTGAAACTCAAAGGTAGCACACAACAGCCACGTAAGCTCTCTGGTGACTGCCTTGATCTACTTGTGAGTGTAAGTGGAGGAAATGCAGCAATGAAGACATGGACTGAGTTTGACCATGTTTCATGGATACCTATGGACTTTGAGATGAGAGAGAGAGAGAAGAGGAAGGGCTGGTTGGTCTGAAGTTTAGGAAGACTTGTGAGCTCCCGAGCTCATGGACACTGACCTAGCTAGAGACACTGGGGGCTAGAGCTGAGAGTGAAGTGGCCAGCTTGTCTGAAGTGGGGGGAGGCATGCAAGAACACCCAAACTTGCAGATAGTACCCATTTGACTTCGCTTGGATGGCTTGCTGGTCAGAACTTGGCTAGAGGAATATAAAGAAGTTTGATACAAAAAGCAAGTGTAATTGATTCAATTTGTTGAACTAGACCTTTGCTTTGCTTATGGATGTAGTTGCTCAAAATTTCAACCAAGAAGAAAGGATTCTTCACATCAAGGATCAAGCCTGTCCCCTCAGTACACAGGGTTGATAGGGACAGGTAACTGAGACATTGGCTACCAAAAATGGAGGGCTATAAAGGCACAAAGTGGCTGGCTTACAAGCTTTCAAAAGTGTGCTTAGTTTCAGAACAAGGCAGGTAAGGTAGAAACCCCACTGAATAGTTTTTTCTTGTCCAGATGGGTCTAGTGAAAGGGGATGGGAGAGGATGGAGAATAGGATTCTTTTGAATAGAAGATGTGAAACAAAAGGAGGGGGGTGGTTGATCTTTCACTCCAGGAACAGTGGACCCGAGGAACAGTAAGAGGAAAAAGTATGACTGGAGCATGGTATCCTAACCAGGAAAGCAGCAATAGCAGAGGCAATGGCATAGAGAGTGAGAGCAGCCAAGGAATGAGAAAGGCTGTGTGCCTGCAGGCAGGAGACTGGCTTGCAAAATGTGCCTTTTGATCATTTACATGAATATATATACATAGATATATAAGGAGCTCTGATAGCGTAGTGGTTATGAATCGGGCTGTGAACCTCAAGGTCAGCAGTTCGAAACTACCAACTGTTCTGCGGGAGAAAGATGAGCCTTGAATCATTACAGCGAAGACATTCCCACCCCCTCGATACACAGAATAGACAGGGATGGGCAACTTGGACATTGGCTACCCAAAATGGGGGTGGGGGGGGCTACAAAGGCAAGAAGCGGCTGGCTTACAAGCTTTCAAGAGGGAGCCTAGATCCAAAGGGCACGGAGGAAGGTAGAATCTCCACTGAGTAGTATCCAATCTGTCTGGGCAGGGCTGATGAAACGAGATGGGAATAGTTCTCTCGTGGTACAATAGTGAATAATTGCTATCAGGACTGACTGTGAGGGTTGGAAATGTAAAGGTAGACGTTTTGTAGCAAAAGGAGGGGAGTGATTGACTTTGCAGTCCAGGAGCGGAGGTCCCTGGGACCATCAAGGGAGAAGAGGGTAGCGTGAGTCCCTACCCAGAGAAACAGTGATGCCAGAGATGGAGGCAAAGACAATGACGTGGAGCGATGGAGTGGCTAGGGACTCTAGACCCAGAGAGGGAGAGGGGCTGTGTGCTGATGCTTGCAGGGTATACCCTTTGGTTGGTTAATGATGCATGGAGGGGTTTGTAACCATGGCAATGAAACGATATACGATAGGATGAATGTAAAGCTAATGTTCTCCCATGTAAACTATCACATAATTCACAATAAAACATTAAAAAAAATAAGATTTACAGCCTTGGAAACCCAGTACAAGGTTGCTATGAGTTGGAACCAACTCCATGGCACATAACCACTACCATCATGTTTACACACACACACACACACACACATATATATGTGTATTTATATTCTGTGTGTTTTGTGTACATCAAAAAAAATAAAGGAATAGAGGTAAATACTGTTAACTGGTGGTACATGGAAGGAATTGTAATCATTGCGGTGAAACAAAGTATGATTGGTTGAGTGTAAAACTGATGATCTACCCTGTAAACTAGTACTCAAGTCACAATAAAAGCTTTAAAAAAAAAAAAAAGATGAAAGAAATATACAGAGTAGCTGTACCCAAAAGAAATGGTTGATGTTCAGTCATTTCAAGAGGTAGCATGTGATCATGAGCCAATGATACTGAAGGAAGAAATCCAAGGTTCATTGAAGACATTGGCAAAGAACAAGGCACTGGGACATGGTGGGATTCAAATTTAAATCTTTCAACAAACTGATGCAGCACTGGAAGCACTCACTCATCTATTCCAAGAAATTTAGGAAGACAACTACCTGGCCAACTGACTGGAAGGGATCCGTATTTGTACCCACCAAAGAGAGGTGACCTAATGATTGAGGAATTCATCAGACAATATCATTAATATTGCATGCAAGTAAAATGTTGCTAAATATAATACAAAAATGGCTGCTACCATACACAGAAATTCCACAAGTTCAAGTTGGATTCAGAAGAGGGCATGGAATGGGGGGTATTATTGCTGACATCAGATGGAACTTGACTGAAAGCAGAAAATTGAAGAAAGATGTTTACCTGAGCTTTGTTGACTGTGCAAAGGCTTTCGATTTCTGTGAATCATAACAAGATATGGACAACATTGCAGAGGATGAATATTCCAGAACACTTAATTGTGCTCATGAGGAACCTGTACATAGACCAAGAGGCAGTTATTCGAGCAGAACAAGAGAACACTGATGGTTTTAAATCAGGAAAGGTGTGTGCCAGGGTTGTATTCTTTCACCATATTTGTTAAATCTGTATGCTGAGCATATAATCTGAGAAGCTGGATTATATGAAGAAAAATGTGGCATCAGGGTTGGAGGAAAAACCATTAACAGCCTGCGATATGCAGCTGCTACAACCTTGCTTGCTAAAAGTGAAGAAGATTTAAAATATTACTGATGAAGATCAAAGATTACAGCCTTCTGTATGGTTTGCACCTCAGTGTTAAAGAAAACAAAAATCCTCACCACTGGACCAATTAACAACATCCATATAGATGAAGAAAAGATTGAAGTTGTCAAAGACTTCATTTTGTTCAAATCAACCATCAGCAGTCATGGAAGCAGCAGTCAAAAAATCAAATGATTTTAGACAAATCTGCACAAGACCTCTTTAAAGTGTTGAAGAGCAAAGATGTCAGTTTGATGACTAAGGTGTACCTGACCCAAGCCATGGGATTTTCTTATTTTCCCCTTGTTGCAGCATTTGAGGATAAAACTGGCAGGCGGGAAGCCACCAGCACCGGCACTCGATGCATGACACTGAAAGGACTGAGTCTTCTCCCTCTGCCTCCGTGCATAATGGGGTTCAGGACCACATGCCCAGAGCCCGCCAAGAAAAGGAGGGTGCCATGATATTTTCAGTCACCTCATGTACATGTGAAAGTTGGACCATGAATAGAGAAGACCATAGAAGAATTGATGCATTTGAGTTATGGTGTTGGAGGAGAATATTGAAAATACTATAGACTGCCAACAGAACTAACCAGTCTGTATTGGAAAAAGTACAGTCATAATGTTCCTTGGAATCCAGGATGGCCAGATTTTCTCTCATACTTGGGACATATTATCAGGAGGGACAGTCCCTAGAGAAGGTTATCATGTTTGGTAAAGTGGAGGATCAGAGAGAAAGAGGAAGATTCCCAACAATATGGATTGGTACAGTGGCAACAGCGTTGGGCTCAAATGTAGCAACAATTGTGAGGTTGGCGCTGGACTGGGCAGTGTTTCATTCTGTTGTGCATAAGATCGCTGTAAGTTGGTATTGGCTCAATGGTACCTAACAACAACCTCCACCACATGGGACATAATTCTACTATGACATACAAGGGTCATCATGAATCATAGTCAACTTGACAGCAACAGTGTGCTTGTTATAAAGAAATGAAGCAAGCAAACTAAAAACATGCAAGAGTGCAAAGGTAAGGTTTCTGATTAGATGGAATTTTCTCAGCATTTCTGAATGCAGAAGTTCAGACTCATTTCATCTTATAGTTTTGCCCTCCTGTCCTTGAAGTTCTTTCACTGAATGAAAATCAGTGTAAGAATGGTGAAAGTAAATGAAGGCTCATGGTGGGAACTGTTAGTGTCATCACTGGAAGTAATATGTATCACTAGTCCCCACCACCATTGATGAAAATTTAGTCATAAGGATGCACCAAATGCAAGACACAGCTAGTATTTCTCACATCTTATATTTCTACAAAATTTATAGTTTATGGAACACTTCCTTATGTTTCACTGTGACATATTTTCATGGAAAGTAATAAAGCTTAGTAACAGAAGTGAAAAAAAAAAGGATATGACACCTATGTCTTGGGTGGTTCTAAGCAATAAATGAAATAACTTTTTATTAGGTGGTCAGCTAAATGATAGTTAATAGTAGTAAAAAGTGATACTAAGTAGAACTACTGTGACGTTTGCAGGTGTAAGGTTTCATAAAAGTTTTGTGAGATATTTAAAAAATAAGTCATTCCTATTTTATATTTAACAATATTATAACAGTATTTTTTTTATTATGTTACTTTTATTGAGAGTAACCTTCATGTTAATTTTTTTTTTTAATTCTTAGATGTAGAAGAACTGATACCAGCATTGGATTTACTTTGCTCAGCAATTAGAGAAAGTGATTCTGAGACCCAAAGCAAACACTTTTCTGAACAATTGCTTAACCTTACATTGTCTTTCCTTAACAAACAAATAAAAGAGCTTTTTGTTCACACTGAAGGTAAGAATAGCTGCAAGAAACGGGGAAATTGTACCATGCCTGTGTCAGGACAGGGACGCTAGCAGTGGTCCTGTTGTATAAAAGTACAAGCCAGTAGAGTGCCATTGCTAAAGCTGGACAAAAGCCATGGGCAGTTTCAACTAGTGAAACTGGCTAGTTGGCAGAAAGACCCAGAACTAATCATAGCAAAAAAGTAGAACAAGTTCTCTTAATACAGAGATACTTTGAAATAGAAAACTGTTTGAAATTTGAAAATGCTAAGTTTAAATTTTAGCATTTTAAAGAATTTTTAATAATATTTACAGCTCATGGTATTCTCTCAGTCTCGCTCTTTCTCACTCTGTATGAACTTGGTTCCTGGGTGTTTCCCACAGAACTAGATGAGCATCTGCAAAAAGGAGTGAACATTTTGACCAGCTACATTAATGAGCTTCGAACCTTCATGATGAAGTTTCCTTGGAAGCAAACAGAAGCTTTGGATGAATGTGATATAAATGAAAATGTTCCCAAAATAAAGGAGAGCAGTATATGGGAGAAACTCAGCTTTAAGGTAAATTTGAATAATTATTGTTTCTTTTATTTGCCAGATTCAGAGGCTTTGAGAAAACAATAGAAGAAACAGAATTTTTTAGATCTGTACATGTAGTTCTGAATCTTTGGCAAGGATTTTATAGGTTTTAGTATCTCTGGATACAAATTTATGTCTGCAAGCTCTTTTTTCATTTAGAACACATTATTTCATTTAGACCATAAATTGTTGTTGTTGTTGTTATGTGCCATGGAGTCGGTTCCGACTCATAGTGACCCTGCATAGGGTTTCCAAGGCTGTAAATCTTTACGGGAGCAGAAAGCCTCATCTTTCTCCCGCGGAACAGCTGGTAATTTCGAACTGCTGACCTTGCAGCTCGCAGCCCGATTTGTAACCACTATGCTACCAGAGCTCCTTAGACCATAAATAGGCTTCCTATTAATGCCAGATCTGTCACTTGAATCTGATGATAAAAACCCAACCCCAAGCTTGTGTAGAATGATATTCTCTTATAGATAGTCCCACACTGGCTGGGATTTGGCACTTAGAATTCATACATTCTTCCTGACTTCTGCATAGCTAGAACTATTGCTGATGGTTAGATTTTAGGAACTTTTTGATCTCATGATATTCTTGAAAGTATGCTTGATTTGAGTCCTATCTCAGATGCTAGTTAAGAGATCTTGCCAATTGAATCTGTTTAACATTCTGAACCCAACAGCTTGCCTTTTAATGTTTTCATAGTGGAGGTTAATCAAAATGTGCTGCCCTGTATGACTGTTGTTAAAGTGCCGTCGAGTTGGTTCTGTCCCATAGTGACTATGAGTGGCTGGTGGGTTGGAACCACTGACCTTGCAGTTCACAGTTCAGTGCTTATCCTACAGTGCCACTGGAAAAATCCATCCACCCACACGGAGACTATTGGTATTGGATGACAGAGACCAGAAGAATGTAATCTTGATGATCAGAAAAGTGCCTCTACTTTTCTGTACAGTCTTGTCTTCTGTGACCCTCTGTAGTTTTTTTTTTCCACTTAATGTTGAGTTCACTGAAGGTCTGATGCACTTTCTTGCCTTTGTGCATCTGGATATAATATTCCCTCTTTTTGAAGCACATGTCCTCTGTCTCTCCCCCTCTTCCTCTCTTCTTTTTCTTTCTCTCCTCTCTCCCCCTAGACCTCTTCCTTGTCATCCTGGAAGCAGGTTTAATATATACCATATCATTAGTACTGAAGTCAGGGCTTTATCTGTATATCTTCCACTGTGTGCTCCTGGAGAAGAGTCTGTGGCTTCATCAGCTTCACATTCCCTGTGTCTAGTCCAAAATCTAGTAATAGATTTAACAGTAAAATGTTTCTCCGTCCTACGCCATCTTACTGATCACATGAATAGGTACCATAGTGAAATCATAATAAGGAAAGAAGCAGGAACATTTAAAAAAGGCAAATGTTTTTCTTCTTTCTTCCTAGGAAGTTATTGCCAGTGCCATTTTAAACAACAAAATACCAGAAGCACAAATGTTCTTCAGGATTAACAATCATTCTGCTCAAAGTCTTGAGGAGCTGATTAAAATAGGCCTAGATTTGGTCTTTGACAATTTGAAAAAAAACAATATAAAGGAAGCCTCTGAACTTTTGAAGAATATGGTGAGTGGCATGATCTATTTGAGAGATCTTAAAGTCCCTAATGTAAAAGAAGCTTTCTGTGTAATTAATGCAACTTCTGGTTAATATAAAAATTGATTCATATTCATAATTATGTCACAGACTAAGTAATTTATGTAGCCTTTACTATGAAATAATAAGAATGTTAACAATACAGAGAAACTTTCCTTGGTACTGAAAACTTTCCTAAAGAAAACTTTAAATGGAGTTTCCATCCTCTGCTCTCTCTTACACTTGGCACTTTAGTTAGGAGAAGACAGTATATCTGAGAGCAGACTTCGCACATGGCAAAGTATGCACAGGACCGCAGTATTTGTTGAGGGACATTTTGTATTGTTCCTGTGACCCCTAACATCTCCTCCTGAGCTTCCTAGTGTATTGTGCATTTACTGAAGCTTTGTTCTCCATGGTTTTAATTCATTAGAGAAGAGGCAGTCCTAGAGGTAGGGCTTTTAGACTAAGTTGAGATCTGGCCCAAATCTGCATAGCTGGGGTCTTGCCCATGCTAACTTCCTGTAAGTGTGAAGGAGTGGAACTACATAAGGGTTGTTATTGTATTAACCTGTTTTCAACTGAATCATCACAACCATTTCCTGTTGTTTTGGTCCAGTATTAGCTTGGCATTTACCTTGAATTGTGCTGCATTTGCCTTTTGGCAAAATGCTTACAGACTTTAAGCAGAAAATACATATAATAAGAGTAGGAAAATGAATGTCTATAAGGACAGAAAAGCTGTGGAATTGTAACAGGATGTACGTAATAGCATACTTCTGTGCCCAATATATACATAAAAGTTTCACTATAAAATGTAAGAATTTGTGGTTTTCTGTTTATTTGTAGGGTTTTGATGTAAAAGGCCAACTGCTCAAGATATGCTTCTATACAAATGATAAAAATATACGGGACTTCTTGGTAGGTAAAGGTGACACTGTAGTTCATCTGTTACTGAAAAACTTGGTGACACTCCAAGGAAATCATTTTAATATTTAGCCAGTATTTAATAAGTAAACATGATTTTAATGATTATTTTATATTTGTGATGAAGTATATATATTAGCTCTAAAATCTAAAATATAATTCTTAAATTTAATGTCAAGAGACTTGTTTTTCATATGTGCTTGGTTTTTGTGAGGTCACTGCTTTAATTTTTTATTCAAGGTTGAAATTTTGAAAGAAAAAAATTATCTTTCTGAAAATGAAAAAAGAACAATATACTTTGTGCATCAAGTGGAGAAGTGTTATTCGGGACAGTCCCAAGAAAATACACAGATCCAGTCCTTTCCCAGGTAGTCCCATTAGGCCTTTTTTTTGTAATATGCAAAGTATATTCTAGAATAGTGTTCGGTTTGTAATTGTTAGTGAGCCATGGGTTTCTTATATGGAACTGAGCTTACATCCCCCATGAAGATAAAACTTGCATCTAGATATGCTGTCATACAGAATTGAGTCCAAGAATTCCTTGTTGTTTGAACATTTTCATAGTCAGATATATAAGATATTAAATGCAAAATTAAGAATACTGAATTGTGTGTCCCACAAAAGAGTACAAGTTGTTAAGCAGATAAAAAAATAAAGATGTTTTTCCTTCAAATAAACAATAAATATATACCACTGTTTTAGGTACTGGCTAAAGGGACAAGATTTTTCCAAGCACAAATCTGTTTTGGACTCAGTCCTGAAATATCATAAAGATGAATTTAACAAACAGGACCATAGAATTGTGTTAAACTGGGCTCAGTGGTGGGATCAACGAGCACAAGAGTCCATCCTTCTTCCCAGGATAAGTACAGAAGGCAAGTGTGAGAGAATGTGAAATTTGAGCATATTGAATGTGGATTAGATGAAATTTTGATATTTGAAATTTGGATGTGTCTCCATTTTAGAATTTGTGTGCATACTGAGGGTGAGAAGGAAATGTTCAGTTGCTTTAAAATATAAATCACTGCATTCAGATCTCTTTCCTATCTCAGGAGTTTAGTGAATGATTGATCATGTGAGAGTGAAACAGAAAAGACGTATGGCTCAGTTGGCCAAGCATTGAATTGAAATTCCAAGATTGTTTTCATCCCACCTTAAAGTGACATTCTTAGTATTTCAAAATAGTCTTTGAATGTCTTACTGTCTGCATATACTGGGGGATCTATATCACACCAGGAGTCCTGGTGTGGCACTGTAGGCTAGTGCACTGGACTGCAAAGTCGGTTTGAACCACAAGGTCACTGGCTCAAGCTCCCCAGCTGCTCCTTGGAAACCCTATACAGGGTCGCTATGGGTCAGAACCAACTTGACAGCATACAACATGTCACATCGGGGGAATAAACTGTGGCGCATTCCACATTTGTAAAAATTTGATTCATGTTTACAATAACATGCAAAGTTTTAAAAATTTCTACCAAAGGGAAAAAAGGGAAGAAGAGGGCTGAAAAGGTAAGTGAAATAAACAGCTAATTCCCAGGTTTCATTTTGACCACTGTAGTAATAAGAAGAAACATTTAGCTTGTCCTTTGGCTTATTTTCTATAAAATGAATAAGGCAAAAGAAGGAAATAGTAAGCAAGCAGAGGGCCTGAATAATCCATATGTTACATAAATATTTATGTCCAGGTTGTTCTGTTTCCTCAGTAGTTAACTAAGTATTGAGTTACATGTCAATAGTTGTAATTCATTTCTATTTTACATTGTGTTCTGTTCTTCATGTAGACTACAAATCTTATTCTTCTGAAGCACTTTGGAGTTACCTCACAGCTCGCCATGATTGGTTAAGCATTAACTTGTGGATCAGAGAATTTCAGACCCAGGATAGTTATGCTTCTCTTCAGCAGAACAAATGGCCTCCTCTGACTGTTAATGTTATTGATCAGAATACTTGCTGCAACAACTACATGAGGAATGAAATTTTAGATAAGCTGGCCAGGTATTGTAACTCTTAAACTAATCCCCACTGGGCAGAATAAAAAGAAGGACAATAGAAAATAATAGTGTAATTTGTCCTTTGAAATAATAGAAATTCAATGAGCATTATTTCACGTTATTTTAAATCAAAGGGTGTTATAGACCAAGGAGTCTTGATGTGGTGTTATAGGACATGCACAAGGTTGGCCATTCAAACCCACTAACCACTCCTTAGAAACCCATATGAGGTCTCTAAGAGTCAAAATGGACTCCACAACACTAAGCAATAACAACGCCATAGAGCAAAAGATCCCTGGTGGCACTGTAGGGTAAATACTGGATTGCTAATATTAAAGTCAGTAGTTCAAACCCACTAGTCATTCTATGGGATAAAGTGAGCCTTTCTGCTCCTATAAGATTTACAGCCTCTGAAACTCTGTAAAGGGATTGCTATAAGTCAAAGTTGACTTGATAACAGTAGGTTTTGGCTTGGATCATAGACTGAGGTGTTAAAATCATAAGTATTAAACAACATATGGTTATGAATAGGCTCTCAAATTCTATATATGGGTCCTTACCAAAACATTTTATGTGCTTTTAGTGTAGAAATGTTAAGCTGTGAATAAGGCTTAAAGGGACCAGTGGCTAGAACTGAGTATCCTGTGGTCAACTCCCCCACTTTTTAGTATCATAGATGCACCCATATGCTTGTGGCGTTGAAATTTCAATCAGTAGCCAGCCATTTTTGAGTCTATTCTGATTCTTGGTGACCTCATGTGTCAGAGAGAAGTGTGTGCCGTCGGATTTCTCAAAACTAGATTGCTAGGCCTTTCTCTTCAGGTGCCTCTGAGTGCCCTGGAACCTCCAACCTTTCAGTTAACAGCCAAATGTGTTAACTCTTTACACTACCTGGGCATTTACTGAGATAGAAGGACTGCTGACTTAAGTGTTGTGTGAAGACTTTAAACTTGTAATTAATTTCTGTTAGGTTAAACCATATGAAATTATCATTTGTTTAGGTCAGAATGGTTGAATATCAGCCATTTCGTATGAATCAAGCTAATATATCTTCCTAAACTGTTAAAAGGAGTCCCTGGGTAGTGCAGACTTAATACTCCACCCAGAGGTGTGTTGTACATCTGAAAAGTTAGCCATTGAAAACTCTATTATTAAATACCATTAAGTTGGTTGTGACTCACACCAACGCTGTACAGGGTTTCAAGGAGCAGCTGGTGGGTCTAAGCAGCCCAGTTTATCCTATAGCACCACATCAGGACTTCTAAAACCCTGTGGAGCACACTTTTACTCTCCCTAGGGTCATTGTGAGTCAGAGTCAACTCAAGGGCATATAGTGTTTTAGCTATTGAAATAACAGGAATGTTAATAACATGTATGCTTGTTTGTTTGTTTGTTGGAAGTTGCTTAAACTTATTTCACATGCCCTGTTTTATTTTTCACTTGGGCCCATAGGTGAAGTGTGGCTATATTGCCGTATCCAATTTGGAGGTGTGGAGAATGAGATTGAGAGAAATTAAAGCTTTATCCAGGCCACTGAGCTTTAGACTTGAACCCTTTAATCCCTGACTTTGTGTCCACTGTTCTTTCATTGTACTAATGCTCTTCTTGTTTTACTAAAAGTGAAAATTAATAATATGCTTCCAAAGTATTTGGCTTATTAATTGGTTGTTTAAAAGCTAATATATGGTTTAGAATAAATTGTGAAATTAATGAGAATGACAACATATTTCAGAACCTCTTCTGACATCCATTTTGATCTTT